CCACAAAATGGCCCAATAAATAGACACTTAGTACTCCATTTATAGATGAGGAAATGGAACTGCAAACATCACAGCACTGCTAAGTGGCTAAGCCTGGAGTTCAAGGCAGCTAGTGGACTCTCAAGGAGTCCTGGTGGCAAAGTGGTTAAGTGCATGGTTGATAACCAAAAGGTTGGTCATTCACACTCACCCAGCAGTTCTGAGGGGATAAAGACCTGGCGATCTTCTCCCATAATGATTATAGCCTAGAAAGCCATGTGGGGAAGTTCTACTGTGTCACAAATTGTTACTGTGAGCTGGAATTGACTTGATGGCACACAGCAATAGTTGTCCTTGCTTTATCTCTGACTTCCACAGCGTTCTGCCCTCCCACTGTACTAATCTACTGTACTCCAAAGCACCACTGAGTAGTATGATTCCTGTCATCAGCTTTCATTGACGGACACTCATTGCTGAGTTTCCTGTAAAGATGTGGGAGAATAAAAACCCATAAGGAAAAAATGTCTCCATGATCTCAGTCCAAGAAATAATTGAGCTTCTTCTAAACAGATATTTTTTCATCTTGTGGAGACATTAGTCATATAATCCAGAGTTTTCACATCTGATTTTAGAAAAACTTATGAGATGATTTTAAACAGAATATACCTAAACAAGAAAGATATTCCCTTTGTAGTAGCCCCCGCCTCCCAATTTTACTAATGTGGTAAAAATAGAATATCTGTTTGGTAGTAATAAGACTGTTACAGTTTTGTTGTCACATGCTGTCGAGTGGCTTACAACTCATAGTGTTCCAGTGTGACAAGGGTAGAGCTGCCCCATGGGCTTACTATGCTGTAATATTTCCATAATCAGATCACTGGGTCTCTTCACCCTCAGAGCTAGTTGGGGGAGTTCGAACCACCAACCTTTCAGTTAGCAGCATAGATTTAACCATTGTGCCACCAGGGCTTCTTAGTAGTTGAAATAAGAAAAAAACAAACCCACTGCCATCATGTTGATTCCTATACACAATGATCCTTTAGAACAGCATAGAACTGTCCCATAGGGCTTCCAAGGCTGCAAATCTTTATGGAAACAGACTGTCTCATCTTTTTCCTAAGGATTAGCTGGTGGGCTTGAACTGCCAACCTTTTATCACTATGCCATGAGAGCTCCTGGTAATAGGAATAGCACATCTTTATTTCCTTTTATAACAAATAAAAAGGAGGTCTGATATACAGATCCTTGGAAGGCATTAATATCTAGTGAGATTGCAAAGAGTTCATTGCATTTTATATATTTATTTATTTATTTATTTATTTATTTTGTAACTGACATCAATATGATTTTGAAATTATTTGCTGAGATCGAGAAAGTTAGCCCAGGTGAGCAATCCGCATGGCTTCCATCTACAGCCAGTCATATTGGTTTTCCATTTACAAGTGATATAAAGCTTCCTTTTAAAATAAATTCATTTCAGGGGGGTTCCAGCAAGATGGTGGACTAGGAAGAAAGACTGCACAGATGCTTTTCAACAACGAAAAGGGAAACCAATTAACACAGACACAGAAGATAATCCTGGACCCCTGAGCCTTGAAGGAAAGTATATAGAAGTGGACTAACCTCAACTAGCAGAAGAATTTGCGTGAAAATACCAAAAAAGGAGACATAGGGAGCTGCGGTCTGGCAGCAATCCTGAGTGATCCTGATGGCACAGGCAGCTTGGAGATTCCAGAGTAGTGGTAGGACCTAAGAATTAACCTAAAAATCACCCTGCTAGCCAGGGACTGCACAGAGGATTGCTATGATGGTTAGGGAATAAAAGGTGAAGCAGCAGTGAAAAGGAAGCCTGGCTGAGTGACTGTGCACAGTGGCTGGGGAACAAACGGAGAAGGTGAAGAGAAAGGTGGGCTGAGCTGTGGACTTTTGCTGGTCCGGAGGGCACCGCCATTTTGAAGGTTTAAAAAGCGGCTTGAATATTTTGGCTATTTAAAGAGACAGCACTCTTGCAGATTCCTGGGGCTTAACACATTCTGCTTTCTAGCAACCCCAAGGACACTCAGGACCTGCAAGACTGAAAAGGTACGATATTCCTCTTGTTACTCTTACACCCCACACCCGCTTGGTGAACAGAGGTGTGGCCATCCCCCACTCCCACCTACCTTCTGGGCCTACAGGAACTCCACCACCACAGTCTGTGTGCTCAGATGGAGCCTGGGTGCCCTGCCCTGTCCTCCACCGATTTTTTATTTCTCTCTTTTTTTATTTTTATTTTTTTCTTTTTTGCTTTCTTTGTTCTGGTGATTAGTTTGCTTGTGTTTGTCTGTTTTAAACAACTAATATTATTAATACCTTTGTTCTTTTTATTATTATTCTTAATCTTCTCCTACCAGGTCCTAGTTTTCAGCATTTTTTTCTTTTCCCTGTGCCTGGTTGAATTTTTTTTTTTTTTTTTAATTTAAGGTTTTTCTTTTTACTTTCCCCCATTTTTCTCATGATTAACCCCATTCCTTGTTTTTCTTTTTGCATTTTCCCCATTGTTTTTTTCATTTATTATTCTCCTTCCCTATTTTTTTTTCCTAGTGCCCTATCCCCAGATATTGCAGGTTTTCTTGTTTTTTCTTCATTTTTTCCCTTTTTTCTTTTTTTGGTTACTGTTTCTGTGTGATTACATGGTATGTTTTTTGTCCACGGGCTTTTAGTTTTTTGATGGTTATTCAATTGTAATTTATGTCTAACTGAGTGGGAGACTACAACAGTCCTCGTGAGACACAATTACACCCACACCTTCTGCAACTTCACTAACTGAGCGAGAGCCACTATCTCCTTCTCCACCAATGGGCCAACAATAAAAAACCACCAAGAAGAGCCTGAATCACCCTTGGCTGCTCTTCACAAACAGTTAACAGAGATCTAAATACAATGCCATGATGCCTTGGAAACAAAAGACCATCACAGTCCACACAAAGAAGCAGGATAAACTGGTAGAAACAAGGAAGCAGGATACAGACCCAGAACACATCCCTGAGGAAGAAGCAGCATTGGAACTATCTGATAAGGAATTCAAAAGAATTATCATTAGGTATCTTCAAAGTATTGAGAGACAGACCAAAGAAAACACAGAAAAAAACTTAGAAGAATTTTGGAAGAAAATATAAGGAGAAAATGACAAAATAAATGAAAAATTAGAAATGATTCTAAACCTACAGATAGAAATCCACAAGAGTAATACTAAATTGTCAGAAACAGATAACACTTTGGAGGGCAAAAGAGAAGAATTGATGCAATGGAAGACAGAATTAATGAGATTGAAGACAAATACCTGAATACTTCTTTGGAAAAGGATCAATCAGAAAAAAGATCAAAACAAAATGAAGAAAGCCTAAGGTTCATGTGGGATACCATCAAAAGGAATAACTTACGGGTCATTGGAATTCCAGAACAGGAAGAGAAAAACAAAACCACTGAGAAAATTGTCCAAGATTTGCTGGAGGAGAACTTCCCTGAAATGATGAAAGATGAGAATATATCCATTCAGGAAATCCAATGAACTCCAAACAGGATAGACCCCAAAAGAAAATCACCAAGACACATCATCATCAAACTCATCAAAACCAAAGACAAAGACAGAATCCTGAAAGCCGCATGGGAGAAACAAAAAGTTACCTACAAAGGACAGCCAGTAAGAATAAGCTCTGATTTCTCAGCAGAAATCATGCAAGGGAGAAGGCAATGGGATGGTATATATAAAACCCTGAAAGAGAAAAATTTTCAACCAAGAATTATATACCTGACAAAATTGTCTCTCAAATATGGTGGTGAAATTAACAGATTTCCAGATAAGCAGAAACTAAGGGAATTTGTTAAAACCAGACCAACCTTACAAGACATGCTAAAGGGAGTCCTTTGAACAGAGAACCAAAATAGCAAATAAAAATAAATTCATTTCAGTAAAAATTTCAGTCCATTAAAAATGTTAAGTAAATAGTAATACAGGTGGTGGGAGAATATAACAAAAATCCTGAAGGTGTTTTGGAGGAACGCTGACTTCAGTTTCCTCTTTGCTTTTGATTCCAGACTAGACCAGAGTTTAACTCATGAGTCACTGATGCTGAGTGTGCGGAACCTTGCCCCAGGAATTCCACTTTCCAGTCATACTTCTTGCTTCTACCTCCTCCCACACTTTCTCCTCTGCCTTATCCTTCCTTTCAGGAAAAATAGTGGGGGTGGGGGTTGGGTCAAAAGGGGAGGCATAGTAAAGAATATCACTTTGTTTTAACAGCAACATGACAGAAGAGATCCTGGCTAGTCATTTTTCTGATTGAGGTCAAAGATGCTTTCACAAGCCCAGCGTGTCTTTCTTCTTCTAGTCCTGGGAAGTTTTCATTCCATACACTAGGCAGGAACCGCGTTTCCAAAACTGCTTGTACAGGGAATTCTTTGGTCCTCCTCCGTTTTAGCTTTGCCTGTCACTATGAGAGCATGTGCTTGTGAAAAGTGTGATGAATTAAAGTACTCAGTGGTGAAGGGAGGAGGTGCCACAGGTGCGGACCCCCTCCCCCTTTCTTTCTAGGCAGCGCCTTGACCTTCAGTCCACCTCCCTCCTTCTCTTTCCAGCCCCTCGAAGTGGGGGAGTTCTTGTGGATCCCTTGAGGACAGGGGCTGGCGGTGAGGGTTGGGGCCAGGATGGAGACTGGCTTCTGGAATGAGGAGGGGGGCTGGGCTGGGCTGCGCTGGAATATAACGCCCTGGAGCCTCAGCGGCGCGGCCCCAGACTCTTGGAAAACCCAGCAGTCTAGAAAAGCTGGGCTTGGATTACCCCTTCTTTAAAGAGTTCTCAGGAAGTTTGGGGGAGGGGCAAGCGGCGCTCGGGCTCCACCGGCCACGGAGGGTGAGGAGGGACGACCGCGGCTGCAGAAGGTCTCGCCACTGTCACGTTACCCCCCACGGGCGGGCTCCGGGTACTGCCGCCGGGTTTGCACGAAGCTGGGGAGAGAGGCCCAGCGGCCGCGCCGGGAGGCATGGAGCCGCTGGTCCTGCTCAACGCCCTGGCCACCCGGCTGCTGTTCGTGCTGCACTCACTGGTCGGGGTCTGGCGAGTGACCGAGGTAAAGAAAGAGCCGTGGTACTGGTTGCTCGCGTTGCTCAACCTCCTGCTCTTCCTGGAGACTGCGCTCACTCTCAAGTTCAAGCGCGGCAGAGGCTACAAATGGTGAGCGCGCCCCGGGGCAGGGAGAGCGCTCCAAGTCCCAGAGTACCGTGTCCCACCGCACTCTCGGCTGCCCAAGAGCAAATCTCCCGGTAGCTCAGCGATTCTATACTCGGGGTGGTACTTCCTTTGTCCCCTTGGGAGCCTCAAAGGTGCGTGAGATGCTTGCGTGGCTGTTGGGCATGCCTGGGGTACGCGGAGGCTCCAGGGTTAAGACTGGGAATGCTGAATCTGTGAGCGCAAAGACTCGTCACTCAGTGCCAGTTTGGGTGACTTGGAACAGAGAAAAAACAGAGCGGAAGCTCTTGTCTGCTTTTCAGAAAGTGCCGCCAAATGGGGAAGATGTTGGGAAAGGAGGGTGCTGCATGCTTTGCTTTGGGTGTGCGCTGGTTGCTGTGAGTGCTTGCAGGTGTAGGAATGCCTATCCCTGGGGATCGGCGACCTTTGAAAGAGCTTATGGGCACCAGACAGCCTCCGGTGGCCAGAAGCCCCTTGCAGCGCGTCTATGGTTTCAGTCTTCCTTTCCTCCCGCTCCCGGGCGCACTGGCTTAGTGACTTCGGAGCTTGGCAAATGGCCAGACCATCCTGCCAGAAAGGGTTGCGACGCTGGCCGCCAGACCAGTAGTGGGCTCAGACTTAACATGCAAGAGGTAGTGCATGGTGACTTATTCACCCCACAGCCTTGAATGGCAATGGAAGAACTGAGAAAAAGATTCCCTGGCCCTTTTCTACAAAGATTCCCTCCCCCATCCCTCTACCCCAATGCATGTTCATTCTAAACTTATCCAAACTAGCCCTAATTACTTTATTATTTTTTTTTAAGTTGTAAGGCTGTGTTTTTGCATTTGTCCATGCTTTTTAAATGTACATCTAATGCTAGGAAAAAGAAAATAAGGTAAACCAATTCAAGAATTATGTACCCGGTGACATTAAAGTTAACCACCATACTCAGACAATAAAACCCCTCTGTAGATTTTACATAAGGAGCTCTGGTGGCTTAATGCCTAAGGCATTTGACTTCTAACCAGAAGGCTGGTACTTCAAACCCACCAGCCACTCCGTGGAAGGAAGACTGGGCAATCTACTTCCTTAAAGATTTACCACCTTGGAAACCCAAAGGGGGTCACCATGAGTCCGGATTGTCTCCATGGCAGTGAGTTTGGAGTGTTTTATTTTTTCTCCAAAAAAAAAATTTTTTACATACGAAACTGAAAAAAGGCTTTGTATTCCATGACAATCTATCTCTTAAGATGATGTGAATCTTGATTAAATTTTCCACTTTTGAAAAATTTCTAGAATTGTCGATGAAAATATTTACTCAGATACAATACTAAGCTACCAGGGCTCCCCTAATACAAGGAAGATTAGAATGTTATCTTCCCTCCCTTAAGTGTTCTAAGCATAAAGGATTTGAGTGTGCCTTTTGGAAATCTCAAAGAAAAATGGTTTTAGCTTCCCAAATAAGCCTTAGGATTAAAGAAACAACAGGAGAGAAAAATATTTGTTTACTTAGCAGGTCATATAAGATTAATTTAGTTTTTACTGAGTGGCTTTAAGATATTAGGGTAAAAATATCTTCGTAACAGTAAAATGTAGTCTGACACTGAAAAATATTTCATGTAAAATACTCTTGCCTCTTATTATCAGCACTCCTAGGAGAAATGTCAACTTCAGAAGAGCAACTAGTCAGCAGGACATGTAATAATCCCCTTTCACCCCAAGAGTAGACCAGAGGCTTTCTCTAATGTTGAGTCAAAATCCCACTTCAGTTGTATGGAAATACTGTAGCCAAAGGAACTTTACCTTCATATTTATAACATCATTGACCACTGATTCATACAGATGTGTAACTTAGATCTGAGAGAGGAAAAAATATTGGAGCAAAAATATGTAAATGGTTAGTCATAAATCAGGTTAAAAAGAGGACATAGTAGTGTTTAGAGTGTGAGCCTCATAATGGAACAGATAATGGGAGAAAATCTCTGGGCTTTCCAGTTTATTTGCTGTGGGACCTTTCAGCAAGCTACTTAACCTCTCTGATCTCAAGTTTTTTTCATTCATGAATAGTTATCTCATAAGGTTGTAGAAAAATTGAATGAGCTAATATGTGTGGAGGAGCTCTGGTGGCATAGTGCCTAAGGCACTTGACTGCTGACCAGAAGCTGGTGGTTCAAACCCATCACCCACTCTTTGGAAGGAAGGTTGGGCAATTTACTCCCATAGTGATACTGCCTCAGAACCCCAAGGAGGGGTTACTATGAGTTAGGTCCAATTTGATGGCACATAACAACAACAACAACAATATGTGTTGATGGTCATTGAATTAAAAAAAAGAAATGATCTATTCTACATCTTAAGATTTTTCTTATTTCTCTTATTTTCCAATATGCTTTGAGTAACCTGGACACATTTTCTGTCTGTACTAGTCAAGCCACTTTACTAAGGGACTGGCTAATAAATCACTGAGTCAGTCCAAAAGAGGAGGAAAAAAATCTCACTTTTATTTAAGAACAGGTCTATGGTAGCATAGTGGCTAAGACACTTGCCTGCTAACCAGACGGCTGGCGGTTCAAACCCACCAGCTACTCCTCGGAAGGAAGGTTGGGCAATCCTACTTCCATAGTGATATTGCTTCGGAAACCCAAGGAGAGGTCGCTATGAGTCGGGGCCGACTCGACGGCACACAACAACAACAACAACAACATGATACATTTTACAACACTAATTCACAAACATCTTGCTGGCTCAATGTCTAGACTAATATTTGAAAATAAACAAAGAAACAAGTTGGTTGAGTTGGCTTATTACAAAGTTGAGGAAGAAATGATTTAAATAGAAATGTGATTACTACTGTTTTATTCTACTGCAGTTACCAAATATGACTGAGTCTGAAAAGATGGTCATTTGTGTGGTGGGGAACTTTGGTAGTGTAGTGCCTAAGGCACTTGACTGCTGACCAGAAGGCTTGTGGTTCAAACTCACCAGCCACTCCTCGGTAGGAAGATTGGGCAATCTACTTCCGTAGTGATACTGCCTCGGAAACCCAAGGAGGGGTCGCTATGAGTCGGGTCCTACTCGATGGCACATAACAACAACAACTCTGCCATAAATGAGGAAAACAATCACTAGATGGCCAGCAAAAATGTGGGAAATTATCTCAGAAAGAATATCATAATAATTAAAAAGAGTTTGGTTTTGGGTACATTTCATTTCTATGTTGAAGTTTTCTGAGAAAGCAAGGCATTATTTTTTATTATTGAGTGTTAAGGAAAATTTCCATCAGAAAATCTATGCTGATGGAATCAAATAAAGAAACATTTTGGCAATATCTACATATTATATAGAAAAATATTAATATATACAGATGTATAGATCTATGTGGAGTTCCATAAACCCACTTGCTATAGAACTGATTCTAACTAACAGTAACCTCATGTGTATCAGAGTAAAACTGCTCCATGGGGTTTCTGATGGCTGATATTTTGGAAAGAGATTGCCAAGTTTTCCTCCAGGGTGCTCTGGGTGTGTGCAAACTACCAAACTTTCTGATTAGCAGCCAAGGGCATTAACTCTTTGCACCACTAGGGTCTCTGTGCAGATCTGTCGTTGTTGTTATGTGCCGTTGAGTCGGACCTGACTCATAGAGACCCCTCCCTGGGTTTCCGAGGCAGTATCACTATGGAAGTAGATTGCCCCATCTTCCTTCTGAGGAGTGGCTGGTGGGTTCGAACCACCAGCCTTCTGGTTAGCAATCAAGTGCCTTAGGCACTACGCTACCAGAGCTCATTGGTCTGGCACTGTGGAATTATCCAATAGAACCCAAAGTACCCACATATAAATATATATGTACAAAGATGGTAGTTTCTAGTTGTTAGTGGAAAAGAAAAAAAAAAATGGAAAGAAACATAATTACTCATCAATAGGATGGTTGAAAAATTGTGATATATCCATATAATAGAATGCTGAGCTGAAAAATAATCAGCTAGATTTTGAGGGATGCCCATAATATATTGTCAGGAGAATAAAGTTACTTGGTCTTGAGAATAAATTCTTGAGAATTTATTAAACTTTATGAGAATAAAGTTATATGGTCTCATTTTTTAAAATATTACTCTTCGCATCAATTGAACATACTATCTTTTTGTGCAAGTCAAAGAAAAGGAGAAAGAGAATGAGAACAATAGAATAAGAGGAAGAAAAAGAAGACATCTTCTCATACTTAAAATAAATACATTTAGAATAATGCTTGCATTATGGACTAGATTCTGTACACACATAAGAGGGAAACTATTTTATTTTCTCTATCATTAGCTCCATAAATCTGCTTTGGATTAAATCGACTAGTTTGAATATTTTGATTTTTTTATGAAAGTTTACACCTTTCTCCAAACAAATCAGTTCTACAGAAATCATGGAACAGTTAACAAAATGTCAACTACAAAATGTAAATTTTCATAAAATATAGCAAACACATTATGCCTGTCCAAGGAATGTTTCTTTAGCTCTCCTTTGGAAAAGAAAAATGGAACCAGAAATGCTGAGCTCAGTTGTCCAGGGACAAGCAACATTACATCAACACTAACAACTTGCCAGCTGGAGAAGTTTAATTTGCTGAAATCCTATAGGGTAGGAAGGGTGAGCCAATGGTACATACCTTGTTAAACTCAATAAATACATACTAGTGGAATTTTACTCTCTTTTTTTTTTTTTGTAAATACTATTTATTTACTTGACCCGCATATTCATTACAGTTCTATAAAACGGAAATATAAATCACTCTGCTTAATTTTTTCTTGTTTTTTATTTTCTATTTTCTGGGCAGCAATCCAATGGATCTTTGAATTATTATTTAGGTAAAGTCAAATTAAAGAAGATATTTTGGCTGCTTTCTAGCCAATAGTGATAAAATATTCCTCAGTGGACAGAAAAATTACCAAGATTCTGACAAGTTTGAAGCATGTTCACTTGAAAACAGGAGACATCTGAGAATAAGTAGAAATCTA